CCCACACGTGGATTAGCCTTGAGAAATCTTCAGCTCGCTTATCTACGGTCCTTCATTCGTTATAACAGTTCAAGGTCTTCTAGTAATCATCACCTGAGCCTATGATCTTGGTACTGCACGTGATCTACCCGTCATCTTTTGACACTAGAGTTGCCTAACATCTGTTGTGGTGTCACGATCACAAGATTGCACCAAGGTTCTAATGGCGGAGTGCTATCGGCGGGCAAAGCTATTAAATTAGAAAGTGCCTAAGAAGACTACCGAAGCAAAACAGTTTCTAGTTTCACATTTGGATCAAGAATGTGAAGCCTTGAGTCTCGTTTTTGTCGCGAGGCTATAAATGTACGCCGGGAGTCCTGCCTCACGCCCTTTAAGATCACTCATCCAGTCTCTCCCGAGGTTTTGGACTCTCCCATCACAATTCTGTGTCTCTTTCAAAACATTCCACTCCGCAACTTTTGGACGACGCATCCCTATCACAACCATGGGCGCCTCCCCCCCTTCCACCCCGCCACCAAGGGCCCTAAAAGACGACGAGCGGAGATTCAAAACTATTACCTTGCCCTGTGAGTGGTTGGAGGATTATCGCCCAGGTGGTTATCATCCTGTCCTTCTCGGCGACGTCTTCAACAATGGCCAGTATAAGGTCATCCGGAAGCTTGGCGAGGGCTCTTACTCAACGGTTTGGCTAGCCCGTGACCTGAGGTAAGTTCATCTTCTATGTCGTCTGTCCGCGACAATACAGGTTATAGTTGCTTATTTCCTTTAAGAAACAGTAGATATGTCGCCTTAAAGATTCTTGTCTCTGAAATCTCAGAATCGACAACCGAGCTACGAATTTTGCGCTATATCACTGAAGTTACACCAGCAGAAGGGGCCCGGTATATCACGCAGCTACTAGACGAGTTCGAGCACCATGGTCCTAATGGTATCCACAAGTGCGTAGTATTAGAGCCTATGGGCCCAAGTGTAAACACTTTGGTCGAGGAGCTGCCCCAGTTTAAACATCGCCGGCGGGGAATGAAGGTCCGCTATCCACGTCAGATGGCGAAGGCTATCCTTAAACAGTCCTTGCAAGCTCTGGCATTTCTCCACGAGAATAGTATTGTCCATGGAGACTTCCAGCCGGGGAACATGCTCTTCGCTCTTGATGATATCAACTCGGAGCCTGAGGACATGCTCTGGCAGAAGGCAGATGTGCAAGCCAGGTCAATCTCGCCTCCAGTTCAGAGGGTTGACGGTAAACAAGATAAGTGGGCTCCTCGATATCTTTGCGTTGCGCAGCCGCTGGTGCCCCTTGTTCACAACACTGAAGGCTTAAGGATTAAATTATCTGATATGGGTGGCGGTCAGTATCTCCTGTTACGAGTATCTGGTTTTCTGTCTTCTTCTTTTATATAATAAATATCTGTGCTTATATTTATTTCTTCTCAACAGCATATTTCTTTATAGACCCGCCGATAAAGCCCGTTATTCCACTCGGCCTTCGAGCTCCGGAGTTGATTCTTACTGGAGCCGTCGACAAAACCCTTGACATTTGGAGTTTCGGCTGTCTTGTCTTTGAGCTTACCACCGGGCAGCCCCTCTTCTGCATACCAGGGCCCGAGTTTGAAGATGACGACCATCTTCTCTCTCTCACCGCCCGGCTCGGCGCCCTCCCTGACGAGCTCATTAAGCATTGGAAAACGTCTTCGCTGTACTTTACACCTGAGAAGAGGCTCTTTAATTGTCAGCTCGGTGGAGTCGCGAAAGGGGGGGAACCGCTTATGGTTGAGCAGTCGTCTATGGAGGAGTTGTTCGATCAAGCAGGCCCAGATCTTGATAAGAAGGAAGCCCACCAAGTGAAGGCGCTTATTCGACGGATTTTGCAGTATGATCCTAAGAAGAGACCTTCGGCTAAGGAAATTTTGTCGGATCTATGGTTTTGCGAGACTAAGGCTGAGATCGGCTCGTCTAAGTAATCTATAGTCTAGTATACTTACGTAGTCATTATCGTTCTTTAAATATTAATACTCAGCTTATAGTCTCTTTGGTTAGTGTTGTATGTCTAAGTTCTAAGCAATATCAAGGTTAAACTAGAACCTGCTGTCACGTTATATAGCGCTTTGACCTGTGGATTTGGCACGCTTAGTGATAGAAAAACCTGTATTTAACCTGTTCTCAGGAGCTCTCCTAATAAAAGACAAGCGTCTATTAACTACCTACTCCGCTCACTCTATATAATCTGCAGCGCCTGCGGATGGCGCTAGCAGAGCCCTCTGAAGCTCCTTCACACCATAATCTTCGTTGCTACATCTACGGTTAGGGTTATTAGGGTTGTTGTCGTGATCTCGATTATATATAAGTCTCGCGTGTGGTCTGTAAATCTCTACCTGTTTAGGTCTATTCTCTTGTTAACAAAGAAGCAGACTCTCGCCGGCACTCCTCTGCTGTCGTTAGGGAAGTAGAGGTGAAAAGAGTATGTGATTAGGTTATAGGTCGTCGAGATAAAGGGGTTCCTCTATGGTTCCTGGCGCGCCAGAATATCGTACTCCCAGATCTTTAGGTCGCGTAGTAGTGTTACTATAACTACGTCCCTCGGCTTTATAACGTTATACTATAGGATCTTTATACCTTCTTCGCTATAGTTTATTGTTTATCTGTACTCTATTAGGAACTGAGTAGTAAGTTCGTTGTGATTAACTCTAGCGCTGGTCTTAAGGGTACGTATGGCCTCCGTGGTCTCTGGCTGTCCTCGAGCATGATGGTGTCCTCGCTCTTATCTTGCGTGCTGTCGAGCCCGGTTCCTAAGTGGACTCTCTTTAGGGCTCTTCCTTTCGTTAGGAACTTGCTCCTGGAGTTCTTTCTGCTTAGTGGTAGTGTTAGCGTCAGCGAAGGAGGCATTGCTGTAGTAGCACTTGGCCTGGCTCTCTGGGTTCCATTGACCATTGCTGCTGCTTCCGCTGGCGTAGTATCAAAAACCACGCGTGCTATTGCTGGTCTTTCCTTTGTTGATGGGACAAAATGGTATGGCTGTCGGGCATCGTATACGGCTTTCACCTTGCCTAACTCGACTTTTCGGGCAGGACATCGATTATTCCACGCTTCGTGTGCTCCCTTGCACACCGCACATTTCCTTATGGCGGACTTGTCGACCTTGGTAGGGTAATCTTTCGAGCTGTACGGTTCTGCACAGTAGCCGCATACTGTGCTCGCTTTGCACTAGGTTCATATGTAGCCGTATTTTTGACACTTGTAGCATTGCTTCAGTCGGCACTGTCTGTCGTATCTCTCGCACCGAAATGCCTCGCCTTGCCAGATAAGTCCCTTGTCTATAACCTTGTTCGCGTCTTCTGGGGTTGTAAACTCCACGATAATAGTCGAAGCCGACTTCGTAAGCGCGGCTCTTGGTAGCTATCTAATATATTTAATATCTGTATTCGGTATAAACGGTCTGTTGTCGTGCAGGAGCTCGGCCTTAATCTCGTCGAACTTTTCTATGTCTATTAAGCTGGTCCTAATACCGTGCGCCAGGATTCCATATGTCGGTAGCCGTATACTAGTGCCTCTTCTAATCTGGTTTATCTAGTCATTTATAAATTACTTTAAAGCCTCTGCTTCGTTTCTGTTTAATATCTTAATACTGAGGTCTCCGCTCTTTAGTTAGTTAGCTGATACTACACGAATCCGCTCAATATACTTGTTCCTGCTCTGTTCAATCGCGCGGTCAACGTGGTTCTGTAAGTTTCTGGGGTTCTTAGCTCGGAGGCTCTCGATAGTAGATAGGTCTATAATTTTCACGATGATCTCACGTTATGCCTAGATAAACGATAATGTCTAAGTAGATATTATGATTAGTCTGCTAAGGGGGGCAGTATTGTAACAAATCACGAGATTGGTCACGTGCAGCTCCAAGAGCTTAGGCTCAAGAGGAGACATCCTCCAGGAGACCTTGGACTGTTATAATCAAAGGGACCAATTACGAGCTAATAAGCGGTCCAGGGATTTCATAATATATGGGTCACGTGGGGTCACGTGCACATAAGCTGGTCGACTGGTCGACTGTTGACCAGTCGACATGGTAGACTCGTACGGGAGCGGCCGTGTTGGTTAGTAGGAGGTCAAAGGTTTGGAAGAACCTATATAGCCTGGGTCTTCACCTATTAGATAGGAGCTTCGTGCTCAATTAAACATAGCAACTGAATCTTATTGTTTATCATCCAGTTGTTGTTACGAGTTAGACCTCCGAGTCTAACAACCCAGTGATAGTCCTGTGTACTTTGCCACAGCCTACAAACCACATTACCTCCTCAGCTACAGGGTAGTAGAGGGCCGTATCGTGACAGTAACGGATACCTATAGTTGCTCGTCCTTATAGTATAGTCCCTAATTTTAGTATATAATATTATTTATTCTTCTCGATTAAAAGATTATAAATATAAATAGTTAAGTACTAACATATATTAAGAGGATATCACGAGTAGTAATACGAAGAGAAAAAGGTAAGACCTGTACCGCGCCTCTCGTCCCCTTGCTATATCTGTTCCCCTCCTGCCTGGCATGATACCCCTAGCCTTATAACATCATATATTTTTTAAACTTCGAATATTAGTACTAATATAGAGGTTAGCAATTTCGTTAACCGGTTCTCTAAGATACGGATTTACGTTAAAGGTCAGCTCAGAAGCGAGAAACCGCTCTCGTCCCCTTGCTACGTCTTTCCCCTGCAGCTTGGTATGATGCCCCCAGTCTCGTAATATCATGCCTTTTTTAAACTTCGAATATTAGTACTAATATAGGGGTTAGTATTTTCGTCAACCCGTTCTCTGAGATACGGATTTACGTTAAAAGGGTCAGCTTAGAAGCGAGAAACCGCTTTCGTTAAATCGAATCCCTGCAATCCCGAAAACGGCCCGAGAAATATGAAAGACCGATAGTCGGAAATTCGAAACGCGGCGATCGAATCGGCGACGTTTGATAAGTAAAAATAAACAAATTTTTATCAAGCAACACACAACAATGGGGAATTGGTTTAGTGGTATAATGTTCCCTTAGCAAGGATTCCTAGAATCCCTGTCGTGGGAGAGGTCGCGAGTTCGATTCTTGCATTCTCCAGATTTAATTTTTTTGGGGGCATTTAAATGTTCCGTTGCTCTGTAAAGTTCGAAAGAAAGTTTAAGGTTTGTTTTTTTTGGAAGCCAAATGCAGGGGGCAAGGTAATGCATTTCAGTTGGTCAGTGCGTATATAAGCGAACCAATAGATATGTAGGGGTTTAAAGCTAAGACTTTCTTACATACTTATCTATATGGCATACGATCAGATCTATCTTTTCTAGTGTATAGAAGAGCTCAAATAAGGTAATAGGGTCGTTTGGTGACGTACGCTCTAGTAGGTGTATTTCGTTATCGAAGTGACGGATCTGTATCGGTTTAAACGCTGTCCTAGTTCTTTTTAGTGGTGTCGCATCGGGTCTAAGCTTTCCTCTATCGGTTACATTATATCTAGTGTCTTCAACTCCTACTCCCCAATCAATTTCCCGAATGTGATTAGTTGCGCCATAGAATGCTCTAGTTAGAGGAAATATAGTGCGAAAGTGTTGTATTATATCCCTACTCTTTCTTTCCCTATATTTCCTAGAAGACTTAACAGTTTTACTAGTGGTTTTGCCATGGTTTCACCATTAATTTGTATTTACCTGTAACTACCGATGTCCCAGCTCATTAGCTTGTAACTCGCATTGCATCAGCTCATATGTACATAATCAAGAGTTGTAGCCTCAATTTCTAGAAATCAATGAATTCTACATACCCAGAATGCAATAGAAAGGATTTGTATGGATAGGTTAGAGAGAGCGTGGTGAAGTGGTAAAGTATGCGACTCAGACGTGAAACTAACATCCTTGGTGGTTGGTAGAGGGGGCTCTTTTTCTTAAACTTTTTTAATACAAAGATATTTGATTGCTTCTTACAACACCAGGAAATGAAGGAACGCTGTTGGTGATCTTGTATGAAGTATTTGACGATCTTATGAACTTGGCCCGGCCCTGGATAGGCCCATCTAAGTCCCAATTTTGCATACTACGATCTCATATATCTAGAATTCTTTCTACAAAGGAACTTCAAAAGTCAACGAAGTAGCCTGAGATGGTATTGATGCAAGCGGACCGTCGCTCATGAGCCTCAATTGGGCTCGAATAGCATCCCAAAGCACTCACATCTCTCAATGTCGACCAATAGATATATAACTAATCGAATACACGGTATCGTAGAAGTACATTCGAAGCCCTGTACTCATATACGGGGGAAGAGCATGAGTCTCATAGAACCACGTTTTCCTTAGGGTGGCACCCTAAGCATTGTCATGTTTTGTTGAAGTACTCCGTCGGCCAAGTCTATCTGTTAGAGGTTCTTCAATGAATATAGATATAGGCAACAACTACCGATCGTAGCTTCCTTTTTTCAGATATCAGTACTTTGGATGTAATCACGATGATGAAGATTATTAGGAGGGTCAAGTTCCCCTCGAAATCCTCCTGTCAGTATTTTCGTCTCATCCTCTTCAACATTGCGGTCACCCACCATTCCCTATTCTTTTTACTGTCAATTCACCACTCAACTTTCCTTCTTCGTATGGTAACTAGTTTCCTAAATCCTATGGTCTCTCGCTAGTTTCCTTCTTTTCTACTCTTCACACTTGTCCAAATTATAAATTCACCAAATATAAAACTTACTCGTTATGCTAACCAGGTTGTGTTCCTTACGGGTGCAACAGGTGGACTTGGAGCTTGTCTCATGCATAAATTAGCTATGCATTTGCCTACCAAGATGATTTATGTCCTGTCGGGGACATAAACAAGGCAAAACAAACCTGGAACAACTCCATGCCAGATCAGATTGAAATAGCGGGCTCCGAGGAAGTGGTTCTTATTGTGGGAGACATATTCAAGGGTATTTTTGAAATGGCTGCTACACATCTGGGGGAGATTGCAGAGCAGATCACCATCTTAGTACACTATGTATGCCACATCAGTCATACACTCTCCTTCATGAATAAACATCTAACGCCCTTCAGGTTGCTAATACATCGATCTCGTTGAAACTAGCAGATTCGGTTCGGTACAACACTTTATCGTCGTTAGAGCTAGCCCGACTTGCTTCTAGGTTCAACAATCTTCAACATTACATTCACGTATCAAGTGCGTTTTGCAACAGCAACCTTTCCGAGGGTCCCATCAAAGAGAGGATCTACCCCCTCGACGACCCAGAAGAGGAACTTCATAAAATTCTCTGCCCTGAAGGCACAACAGAATTTGCATCACAATTTCCCTTCCCATACTACTACGCGAAGCATTTAACAGAACATCTTCTGTTCTCTTGTTTTCCGATCCTTCCGTTATTGGTCGTAAGGTGATCATCACTTAGATCATCGGTACGGAACCCGTATCCTCTCTACGGCTTCCCGGAGCAGTTCCCCTGGAGAAGTTCTTCCAGCTCATGACTCTAAGTCCAGGAAGTGGCATCATGCACGCGCCTAAGGGTCATTCCACCGGTTGCAACATCTATGATGACATACCAATGGACTGGGTTGCCAATCTTGTTCGTGCGGTCGCTGGGTCTTAAGTACCTTGCACAATGGATTATTTCATATCTTCTTACATAGAGCTCGAAAACATCACCTTTGTCAGGGACAAGACCATCGGCCAGTGCCGGTGGGCAACATATTACGGTGTTATGACGCGCAACTTGGATTTCTCCAATGCTTCACCAAAGGCCTTCGAGGGTGTTGAAGGGCCGTTGAGCGTCTCTAATAAGAATCTCGACAAGGCAGAATTTGATCAAAAACGAAAGGAGAAGATCATGAAAGGAGTTCAAGAATATCTAGAAGTGAAGTGGCTAAGATCAAGGACGAAGTCGAGGCCGGGTGATAGCAAACTGTGATGATGGTTGATTTTCCGGTCACGACTGGTATAGGTCAGAGGTTTCGAAGCAGATTTGCTACTTGGTAATAGCATTCGATTAAAAATTATCCCGAGGGCTATGCGATGGCGGATCCCCGATTAGCTATACTTTGAGACTATAGAGCTGATACCCTCGTTCTTCATCTCTAATCGCCAGCTCATAGCTTTTTGACTTCCGCATTGTCTCAGTTCTACAAGTTCCTCCCTGTTTCCACGAATCGCTGGCTGAGTGAACTCCAGTCCCTATGAAAGATCCATTGAGTGCAGAGCGTTCACCCCTTTCGGCAGTACTCATTCGATTTTCAAACAATTGATCAATCTTTCCTCGCGATTTTCTTGCGTCAAGACATCACAAGACATTCCATTGTCAACAGTGTGTCGTATAGGTCTACCGAACGTGTGGATTACGCCCACAAGCCCTGTGTAACTAATGTAAGACAGATAAAGTAGCTGCAAGGCACGACCAAGACATGGCTTGATCTTGCAGACTCGGTGAGCGACGAGGCTCTGAGATTGATAGCCTTTCGATTGGGTGGAAGTCGGAGCCGTTTGTGAGAATCCGGCGTCCTGGAGACGAGAGAGACACAATCTTCTTCGCCCCCCCTCTCCTCCCCCATTTTTACCGAAGAACGAAGCCGTTTTTTCCTTCATGAGAATCCGGCATTCTAGAGACGAGAGAGACACATTCTTTTCGCCCCCCCCCCCCCTCCCTCCTCTCTCAATTTTACCGAAGAACGAAATGTAGCCTCCACTTTCTTTACAAATCCATATTGAGGTTTCTCACAATCGCAATTGCATTCCCATGATCTACAGTATATCTTTCGATGTGGCGCGCACCATATCTACAGTAGGCAAAGGAGAGGAGATTAGTACCTTCAATCTCGCTTACTCAAGACTGTGATCCTGTAGTTCCCCGGTTTCAAGAAGACCACTCGATGGCCATGGCAGTCTGCTTGAAATTCAACCGAGGACTGGAACCCAATTCTAAGAATATTTCAAATGATTTGTTTTGAGTGTGCAGAGGTTTGTTTTCCAAGTCAACCTTCCACTTGGGGATTAGTAAACAATGCCAACCCTGCGCCCACGATAGCTGAGGTCTGATCGTGACAGGGTTAAATTGAGTTTGCACGGAGTACCTGCATCCTCAATTTGTATACCTTCCCAAATCATGATTTCCTTGTTGTATATCCTTCGAAGGTCGGGGTAATGCATTCGCCTCCATAGCCATGGAATATCGCTTATTCAGGGGTAGATATTGACTTACGAGTAACGAGTTAGACATGCCACCAAGCTCCAGCGGACCAGCTGTCATCGATTCTGAATGACCGGCAGAGCAGAATATCCTTTTTGTCAATGCCCAAGCCCCGTTTGCTCGGGATCTACAGATATCAGATTTTAGTGCTGTGGAAACACGTCGTCATTGGAGTCGCTTCCCGTCAACACAGCCAGCCTTGCGGACGCCTCTTTTCTCGCCTCCCCCGCTGTTATGCTGGCAGGCTCAATATTACAGCACGAAGCTCTTCGGAATTAATGGATGCCGTCCATGGTGGCATGGTGTATGCCGATGCTGACAGTTTTCGCACGCGCACCTGTCGGTCGACCCGATGATTCCACTGCAGTCAGCGTTCGAAGCTTGGAAAAGTTGGTCTTTGGTCTAATATTGTGTCGCATCCCCCCTCCCTCCAGCTTCATCCAACTTCCTCCAACAACAACAACAAAGACACGATTCGAAAATCTACGATTCATCAGAGAAAAAGTCAAGATGGGAACCACGACCTTCACGACGATCACTCCCATCCCCGCGGGCGTAACTCGCGATACTGTCATGGAAACACTCCATTCACCAACCGAGATGATCGACTTGAACCCGGCGCACACATCGCGCAATAAGATCAATCCACCGCCCGAAGCGACGCCAGAAGAATATCACTGCACCTGGTACGAAATCACCGATAAGATCTCATACTTCCCCGGGTACTCTGGGAAGGTGTCGTTCAAAGCATGCTTTCACGATCTTCCGCTCGGATTACAAACACACTGTTATGCGCCAATGGGGTTAGATATCAAAGAGAAATGGACATTGGGAGGAAACGAGCCACACGAGCCTGTACAACCCGTCGAGATCGGTATCGGAGCGCCCATCGCCGGCCTATATAT